AAAATCACAATAAATAAAAATACAGGAGAATTTACAACATATGTTTTTACTAGCATACAAACTAACCCCCAAAATGACTAACAAATTAGGTAACTACTGAGTAATGTTATAATTAAAATGTTAATGTTTAACACACTTGGGTTCTCTTCTCTGCCCAAAGAACATAGAAGAGACATTTCTTTTCTCTTTTTTTTTTTGACTTATTTTTTTCTTTATTGATTAAGTTATTACATATGTGTCCTTATCACCCCATTGCCATTGCCCCCCCCCTTGAGACCTCACCCCCCTAGTGTCTGTGTCCATTGATTATGCTTATATGCATGCATAGAAGTCCTTTGGTTGATCTCTCTTCCTTCTCTCCACCCTCTCTTGCCTTCCCTCTGAGGTTTGAAGGTCTGATTGATGCTTCTCTGTCTCTGGATCTGTTTTTGTTCATCAGTTTATGTTGTTCATTATATTCTACAGATGAGTAAGATCATGTGATATTTATCTTTCTCTGACTGGCTTATTTCGCTTAGCATAATGTCCTCCAGGTCCATACTTTATCTTTTTTCATTTACACCAAAGTAAATAGGAGAGTATTTGTGGAAATAAATACTATATTAGAATAAAAATAGGTATAATATATATAATCTCATAAACATAATTTGCCTCTATGCATGTTTTTCAATCCCTCCAGGATAAAAAAAAAATGTTATAAAAAGAATAAGATGGAACAGAAATCAACATTACCTACAGGCAGCTGTGAAGATAGTTGTCTGTAGGGCTTTTAAAATAATTTTTAATTACCAGGCTCTTGTCCCCTTCCCCCGTCCATCCTTATCTACTCTAAATCATACACTACAAAGTCCCTAGTTAACTCAGATATTTCTTAATAACATGTGGATTTTTAAAAAGTTAATTACTGCTTCCTAAGCCTCTTCCACACAATTTACGATGTTGGTAATTATATATAGGTGGTAAATGGCATGAGAAGAATATTTGCAAAAATTCTGAATTTTAAAATTGCGTTCTCCTTTAATCATTTCATCATTCTCTATAAGGAGGAAAAGAATCAGGCTGGCCAGCTCTGAATCTCTCCTTACATTATTTACTTAGTGAGTAGGAAACACTCTACTAAATGTTTCTGTAGTGTCCACACCAGCCATTTCCTGGAAGCACCACTCATCTTTGGCCGCCACAATCTCCTCTCTTAACTGCTACTGAGCTGGAATAAAACTCCTCACTTGATTTAGGTCCTAAGGCTATAAATCAGGTCTATGAGAGAAAGAATAGTCACACATGTGGGAACCAGCCATCAGGGATTAAAACAGAGGTATCTGGTGAGACTTTCAAACAGAAGAAGGAGGTTAAAACAAAGAATTATGAGCTCTCATACACTTTTCTTTCTCACACCATAAAAATGAAAAATCTCTGAAAGGTTTTGAGTAACTGCCAAGCAGTTCTACCATAAATTGCTATCTGACCAGAATAAATCCTGTAACCTCTCTACTTCAGTTTCCTCATCTATAACATGACAATTCTATCAATAACTGAAATGTTTTAGAACATGTAATCAAATATATTCCTTTTTGCCAGCTTGAGAACAGCCAAAATTTACAAGAGACCAAGTTTACAAAAGACAGCATTTTTAGCTAAAGCTCCCAAAATAAAAAATTAGAACTTTTTTTTTAGCCCAAATGTGGAAGATCATTCATACATAAAGTACTTATACGACTCCTCCTTCCTCACACTTCCAGCCAATATATAGGTTATTGTCCTCACCTCAACAAGTACTCTAATTGCTGCCACACTCTTAACAGGAGTTCATTGGAAGCACTCCTCCACAGCGCTGCTGTGCTGCAAACAGTAACAAGGCCAGACAGAGGCTGCCAGGTGGGAGCAGGAAGGAGGGCCAGGAGCAGAGGGAAGCACTTTTCTGGGAAGCACTGTGGCTCCGCAGTCCCATGGTTCCTTCTGCCTCACCCTCACACTTCCAGCTACCAGGGTCCTCGCCTTACTACTTGTACCTCCAAAGCAAGACTAATCTTTAGAAACAGTGAGAGTTTTGACATTGATTAGAATAATTCTGCAGCGTGGGAAAGTGGGTAGAAGAAGAGACAACCAATACGAGAAGAATTCTTTCAGCCTTTATCAATAAGCAGGAAAAAATATAAAGAAATAACATCTTCAAAGTAAGAGGTACTTTTATCAGTGTATTCAATAACTGGTGGTTCAATCATAAAAATTTAACAACACAATTTGAACAGAATTTTTTTAAAAAAACACTTGCTATTTCTAGTTGTTAGCCCCCAGTTCCCTTTGGTTATCGGTAAAATACTTTAAAATCTATACATAGAAGTAACATTTAGAAATTGTATTCTTGTAAAAGGAAAAGTCAGATAATGTCCATTGGTTTCTCTTCTCTATTAATTGTATGTTACTTTATTTTTATTTCCTACAACATCTTTTCCTTCTATGCCCTTAAAGATATACTTTATTTCTTTTGCATCTCTATTTGAGGTTTATATTTCTTAAACTGTCTGATCTACATTTCACCACTAATACTAAGTAGAAAACACTGAATGAATGTCCTCCCATCAATCTCAATATATTCCATTTTTAGGAATCTGGTGAGAAAGAAATCAGGTTATTTGGAGGTGAGTCCTCTATTTTCACTGATATTCACGTTGTGAATGGTGACTGATTTTATTGCTTTCTAGATATCAATTCCCTTTCCTTCAGAGACGTCTATGCAGAAATCTCCCTGGGAGCTTAGGTACTGTGAAATATTGAAATTACAGGGGAATTCCATGTGGGAGCCAGATTACAGCAAAATAGAATCAGAACGAAACCCCTAGAACAGACCCTATTTATGAACTATTATCACTTAACCTCACACTCAACAAAAGGGAGGTCTGGGAAGGTTACTTATGGGCACCTGCCCGAGAATGTACCTGCACATCTGTCCCTCCAAGCTCTTTGGCACCACCCTTTGAAATACTCATGTTACAATCTGTTTGCCATTAAGTCCTCTGGCATTAAAAAAAATTACTAAATATATTTGTGCAGTTTCCCCCTGATAACCAGCCTCTGATTTAAAACACTGCCTTAGTTTTCTCAATCAACATCTATTAAGCAATAGTCCTAAAGTGAACCTATCTGGAAAACCAAAATCCAGATATTAAGGAAACAACTTTAATATACTAATTCTGAACCATTCTAAGCATGACAATAGTTTTCTTTCTCAATTTGCTTTTTTCCATTTTTTTCTTTATTTTGCCATTACCATTTATTCCCCTTTACCCTCTTTCAGCTCCACCTCCCTCTCCCCCTGCAATCACCATGCTGTTATCGGTATCCATGAGCTCTTTCTCTTTTTTGTCTTTTTTGTTCAATTAAGCAAGGAGAGTAATACCTAAGAGTAGCACAGATAATGTATCTGAAGCATACTGTGCAGAGCCAGGTACATGGTAATTACTCAGTAAATGGTAGTTATTATTTTATACATGTATACACCCTGAAAATTTGGAAAATAAAGACAAATATCCTTAATTCTACCACCCTAGTAACACAAATATGTATCTCTTTGTAATTTATGTCTACATAAAAACTTATTTTTATATTATTACAAGTGTAATACACAATTTCGTCCTTTTTTACATTATAATCACTTTTCCATGTTACCATGTAGGATTCACAATTTCCTTTTTAATTTGTTGGATGTGAGTCCATTAAGTAAACTACCATAATTTAACCTCTAAACTCCTGCCAAATACTTGAGGTTTTTTGATATTATAAACAATGCTCCAATAACATTTGCATGAATATAGTTTTTCATTCTGTGGAATCCTTTCCTTAGGATGAACTACTAGCAAAGTTGATCATTAGAGGAACCATAGACTCTTTTGTGACTTAGATTAGTTTTACCAAACAACTTTCCACAAGTTGACACAATTTGTAGTGTTTCCACCAATAGACATAAACATTATCAGGTCCTCTCTAACCTTCAGTATTAATACTAATACCTTTCATTTATAGAGTACTGACCATGTGCCAAGCACTGGTCTGAGTGCTTTACATGTATTTTCATCCTCACAATAAATTTCTGAATAATTCTGAAGTAGTTACTCTCCTTTTGTAGATGAGGAAGTAAAGGTTCAGAAAGTTGAAAAGCCATATCCAATGTCTCATAGCAACTAAGTGGGAGAACTTGGACTCAAACTCAGGTCCTGTTTAATGCCACAGTACTCTTAGTCACTTGGCTATATGTCTGCTTTACTCTTTTTTCTCTAAGGTAATAATAGGTGAGAAAAGATATTTGCACTAATGTTTTCATATGCAGTTCTTGGTTACTAACAAAGTTAATCATTTTTACATGTTTGTTAAACTGCATATTCTTGTTGTGTTATATATTTATATTATTTAGCAACTTCTATAAAGTAGTGGGGGAAATTTTGTTCCCTATATATTGTTTACTAATCAGCACAATCTTCACAAGAGAGGTACAGGCACTGAGCTGTCAGTTTATAAGAGAAGGTGATCCTTCTCTTCCTCCTCCTTCCTGCCCAATATGGGCTGAATACAAACATGTTCTAGAAAGTTATGTCCATATCTTTTTAACATTACAGTACTCACTCTATGATATGGCCCCTGTCTGATTTGGAATACCCTATGTTAGGAGTCAGAGTGAAGACTCAATGTACCCTGAGGAGTGACAAACTAAAATAATTTCTTAACCAATTTACCAAAGTCTTTGAGAATTAATATCTCATTTGCCCAATTTCCCTCCCACCCCCTTCTCTTTCCATCTACAAATTTCTCTTCTGCTAATTAAGATAAAGACTGAAATGTGCATTTTTAATGAATTTGCAATCAAAACAACTTGAGCATCATTCAAAGTTTATCTCCCATAATGTATAGAAACATCATGAAAACTTCACCTATGCTTTACTAAGCAAAACCAGAATTACCTGAAAACATATACTTTAATAATCCCATTTTTAAACATGCTCCATTACCTGCATTATGTCTTGCAGTACAACCAAATGCCGAGGTTGCATCTTCTTTGACTCCAGTGTCAAAATCTTCCAAGCATCTCAATGCTCCACAATCAACTGTTGCCTGAGCTAGTTGAGGAGAATGTTTAGCAACTGCTCATAACACAAAAGCAGCAGCTTCTTTGTAGAAATGCTACAAGGATAAAATAGATAAAACACAAAGTGAATTGAGCACTTATATAATGAAAAGTTAAAATAGATTAAAACCAATGTAAAAATAAAAATATAATGAAGCTCAACAGCTTTTAAATACTATAGAAATACATCCTGCAACATTATTTTTTTGATGTTCCCCATTGCTTTCGTTCAGTAACTAAACAAAAACAATGCAAGTCATATTACATTTCAAATGTTTTCTTCTAAAACATGCATTTATAAAATAAAATATTTCCTGCAAATTGTATATCCTACAAATTTATTATTTAATTATTTAATGAGATTTTTATGTATCTGCATTACACTAAATGTATATGTCTGACCCATAGGAACTCTTGGATTGTTAGCATGTGCAACTAAACTGTCAACTGACAAATTCATTTCCTTTACTTGACCTCAGTCTCTAAGCCTGGTAGGCCTTTCACGACCTTAACTAATCTTTCTGGTGTCCTAAGTTATCCTGAAATAACAACCAGGTTTCAAGATGCATTTATCAATCGTTGGATAAACATAAAGGCAAAATATTCATGATACATTTTAAAACTTTTCCTGGTAAATAAACTCGCCAAACAATTGGGACATGTTATACATTTCTTTTTAGAAATTTTTTTTAAAGGTAAATATAAATGACTTAACATTATGTGAATGCTTCATATTTAAAAGATTTTCTATATATAAGTTTTATCAGATTAAGAAATAAAATAAAACTGAAACATGATTTTCTTTATATAGCTAAGAAAATTAAATGTTTAGGAAATGTTTAGCTGTAAAACACTCACTGTGGTTTTATGGTTCACATAATGACACAGTAATGGTCTCCTAACTCTTCCTTTTATTACAGAACCCAGTTAATCCTCTACTTTAGATTGTGTCTATTCTTTACAGAGACTACTGAAAAGTGACTGAGTGCAATAGCACCTGTTTTTAATGTATTCTATTAACTTAGGCCAAAATATTAAAATACAAAAAAATTATGAGAGAGAAAATACACCAAGCATATTTTTAACATTCATCTCAAAACCTGGTATCCTCTATAATAGAAGGCTAATATGCAAATTGACCAAACGGTCGCTATGACGCATACTGACCACCAGGGGGCAGACATGCAATGCAGGAGCTGCCCCCTGGTGGTCAGTGCGCTCCCACAGGGGGAGTGCTGCTCAACCAGAAGCCGGGCTCACAGCTGGTGAGTGCAGCGGCAGTGGCGGGAGCCTCTCCCTCCTCCATGGCAATCAGACATCCCCTAAGGGCTCCCAGACTGCAAGAGGGCGCAGGCCGGGCTGAGGCACCCCCCGAGTGCATGGATTTCGTGCACCGGGCCTCTAGTATATTGATGATATAAGAAATATGCTATTTAGTAATAATGTTTTGATTTTATATATTTCTTTAGTTTATTAAATATAACATATATAGATATCAAAATATTTGTTGTAAAGTCTAATTTTATGTCAGTAACCAAATACCTACTAATTTATTGTAAAAATTAGAATAGAGTTTTAAAGTAGCTTCCCACCGGTTATTTTTTTAAGAAAATGTTTTTATTGATTTTAGAGAGAGAAACATTGGTTGCCTCCCGCATAGGCCCTGACCAGGGATCAAACCCACAACCTGGGTATGTGCCCTGACTGGGAATCAAACCTGAGACCTTTCAGTGCATAGGATGATGCTCAACCAACTGAGCCGTACTGGCTAGTGCTCCACAGATTATTTTCTTATAATTGTGGAAAAATAATGGTGGTACATTTCTTATCATTACCTTAAGCTAATTTGACTTTTTATATTGTAGAATTTTCAAATTCACAGAAAATTTCTTGTGTATTAATAGTCACTACTAACTACAGAACCTATAATCATACTTTCTGATCTCATTCCCCCTTTCTTCTGATTTCGACTTCCCTAAATTCCTCATTCCTCTCTTCTCTCCCATTTCTCACCAAAGAAATTTCCTTAAAGAAAAAAAAAAGCAAAAGCAAAACCAGAGGACTTTGTACCTGATAAAGAGAGTTTAAATCTCCTGAGAGAAATGAATTAAAGGACTGGTAGGTGAAGGAGACAGAAGCTTGTGAATAATGCTTCACATTCTCGTCACTTTTCTGCCCTGATACATTTTTTGTCTCTTTTTAACTAATGGACATCATTCACACTTAGAAAACTTCTAGTAAGAACCTTCTAGAGTGGATTAAAAATGGTGGCAGAATAAGTGGATGCTACACAGACATACTCCCAGGAACAAACTGGAATTACAACTAAAATACAGAAAAACTTCCTGAATAATCAATGGAAAAATCGCAGGAGAGAACCCTGATACATGCGGACCGAAAGTGGAGACCACATAGAGACTGATAGGAGGGGCGGAGGCACGAAAGGGCTGACTGGGCTCCCACAGACAGCAACTGAAGTCCCGGAGAGATATCTCGGGGGGCGGGGGGGGGGGCGGTGTGCCACTGAGAACTCTGGGATCTAATCCCCAAGCTGGGCCTCCCAGCAGAGAGCACCAAACTGAGGAGGTACCCACATAACATATAACTGTGAAAAGCAGTGGGGTGCTATCTGAAAGTTTGGGCACCCTCTTAAAGGGCCAACTCACAAAATTCCCTGTAGCGCCACCATCTTGTGCTGCAGCAAAGGGAGGGTGAAGTGGACTGGAGCTGTGAGAACAGAAGCTAGGACTGGGGACTCAGGGGATAGAGCTCAGAAGGCAGATACACTAAGTTTCCTGGGCTGAGTCATTCCCTCACACAGCAAAGGACATCTTTCCCACATAGACATTTGCTTTGCCTGGGGAGAAGACAGTTGACACACCCTATTGGAAAATGCCTTGCCCTGGGGCCACTTAAAAGATTAAAAATAACAACTAGCCTCCAGGCAGAAGCAACTGCCTCACCCTGTTGAAAAAAACTATCGCCACACCTAAGGACTGTTGCCTGGGGGCACTTCAAGTCAGAATCCTATCAGTCTGTAGGCAGAGGCAGTCTCTGGAGGCTTTGAGTCTTTGCCTGATCTAATTAGCCAGAAATAGCCTTTAACACTGTCCTGCACTAGAGATTGAGAGGTGCAGAGTATCTACCAAATAC